AGTTCACTGGCGGCCGCGATGAAACGTTCCGCTATTTAAACCGGAATGTCCGGTATTCAAAAAATTCATATCATAACAAAAATAAAAACGGTATTCGGTACAAAACGGTATACCGCCCAGCACTATATAAAACATTCTTTTGTACTTCTGTTCTGTTTATTTGCACTACAGCAAAAATACTGGGTTTGATTATGATTCCAGTTTTCTGCAAAATAAATGCTCTAAAAGTTACATTATCTTTGCCTTTTATAATAATTTTCTACCGCAATATATACCGTTACTGTGAAGGGATTCAATTTATACAGTGATATGAATTTGAGGTCAAACAGTCCAGCCCCATCTGGCAGCGTAAAAGGAATCATTTTTATAAATTCCACTCAGGTTTTGATGAAAAGCTGAGATCAGTTTTTCCATAAAATCAGTCTCAAACACATTAGCACCATGCCAAGCAGTGACAAATGAAAACAGCTGAAAACTCTCTACATGTTGACCAGTCGGGCAGCTTCAGGGTTAAACTGCACTGCAGGAACAAGACGTGTGAGCTTCACAGGATAACGTCTCACTGTGGTCTGCAGACATGAAGCCTCACCACCGGTCACAACACACACCAGAGGTTCTCAAACAAAACGTCACAAATCAGAACTACTAGCAACTAAATGTTTTACAATTTGACTTCAACTTTCCAAAAAAATAAAAAAATAAAAAAATAAAAAGCAATTTGCCTAAATCTGAACGTAACATTTGACATTAAAGCTTGATGTGAACTCTAGTTTTATGAGCCATCACATCAAACTGAGGATTAAGTCAAACTGTGTGAGGAAATATGCAGCTGTAGTGTTTTGGTTTAAATGTTTGCAACAATTGCATTCTGTCAAAATATAAACACCCACAGAACTATGGGTTGTTTAAATATCTGAAATATCTTAATTTCTTTAGTCTTTCTTGAGCAGTAGCTGCTAGGGTTGGGCAATATTTGCAAAATAATTAATCACGATTAATTGGGGTATTTAGCTGATAATGATTAATTTGACGATTAATCCTGTGGAGTCCCTGGACACCCTTATGTCCTGGTCACATGACCAATTTAGTGGGAAATATTTGCTCTTTGTAAAAATCTGTTCCGAATTGTGTCAAAATTACAGACTTCAGGCTGTACAGCAAATTTTAAATTGTGTTGATAAATAAATTACAGAACTTTTTTTAAATATTCGTCATATTTGAAGCGGAGAGGAGCACCGATGGGACTGACCGGGGAAATCTCCAGTCAGTCTGCCTGATGGCATTAATTGTATTAATCGTCAAGTACCAAAAAATAATCGATTAATGTTTTTCTGACGATTAATTGCACACGACACGATTATGACCAACCATAGTAGCTACAAAAACATGATTGGGCAAAAAGGCGTTAGATTTGTTATTTTCTCTGAGGTTTCCTCTTTAGATTTACAAATAATCCTCATAGAATAACCTAAAAACTGGATTCAGACCAAATAATGAGTTCTCCTGATTAGGAAAACAAATCAAGTCATATCTCTGAAAACTGCTCATGATATTAGCAGTGATTCCCACACTGAATTGGTCTTGGAGGG